CTCTTTGCGTAAACTCTACTCTTACTAGCTTAGATCTTTCATATAATAAGCTTGATTTGGATGTTGGAAAAGCTTTAGCTGAGGCTCTCTGTAAAAACAACACTTTAACTTCTTTAAGTTTTTATGGAAATTGCGACATGAGCACATTAGAATATGTCTTTCATACAAACACTACACTAGAAGAATTTTATTATTCGGAAGATTTAGAAACTACTCAAAATATAGAATCGGAATTGGAGGCCTTGGATCACTTGAATCGCTCGTATAGCTTGATTCAGACATCTAATTTGTGCCTTACACTGTAAATATCTTTTAGCATTCTTAGTTTTATTGTTGATCTTCCTCTCTTTAAACTGGTGATTTGGCATATGAAGGAATGTAATAAATATTTTGCTAAAAATGATTTATTGAATCATTTGAAATAATGAATTTGTATTTTCATCTTTATTGTTGTTTTTTTATTTTCCTTTTTTTAAACCGGTGTTTTGCCATATGAAGGAATCTAATAAATATTATACTCTAAAATGATTTATTAAATCACGAAATAATAAATAATTTTGATCATTTAAGGAGTTTATAAATAAAGTTAATATTTGTTTTTAAATTGATGCTACTTCTGATCGAACTCACGGTAAAAATGGTCTCAAATGAATAACATGATATTAAACGCTAATCTACTTCTTAACAAAAATTTTCTAAAATAGCAGTGATGATCAATGCCATTTCGTCTTTATAGTTAGGATACGATTTTAAGGGTCAGATATAAAGGTTCAACTTTATTTAGAGACTGGTTTTGGGTGGTTCTAAACATTTTGCTTAGTATTTCTGATGCGAATCAACTAGTGGATTTTGAGATATAGACCTGAGTGATCATTATTATTATAGATATGTAACTAAATTATTTTTGCAATAATAAAATTGATAAAATTATAATAAAATTATCTTTGACAAAATTTGATAAAATATGTATTTTATCAAATTTTATAAATTTTGTTAGCTACTTATCTATTACTAATTACTATTAGTTTTATTTTATTAAAGTTAAAAAAAGCTAAAGTTTGTTAAATTTTTATTTTTTAATGTTGAGTAATATCTCATGTCTTACTTGTTTATTAGTATATATAGTTCTATACAGCATTGTTGCTTACTTTTGCATATACAACACACCAAATACAAAGGCTTAAATTGTAATCTATAATTTAAATTTACTAAAGCAGTTCATGTTTTACTTAAATGTTGTTTGAATTTTGCTTTAAATTAGCTATATCTGGCTACTTATATATTTATTCTATATTTTATTATATTTATAATTTTAAATTAGTTTCTTTAAATTACTAGCGTTAAACCCGTGCTCTGCTACGGGTTCTATTTAATTTAGAATTCACAAATTTGTTAATAAGTATAAATTAATAAAATTGATATAATTTTCATTTAGTATAACTATTTTTATTAATTTCTATCAATGTTTTTCTTAAGCAGGCCATTTTTGGCTTTAAACTAATGCAATAATTAATGATAAAATCATTATTTAGTTACTTTATTACATTCATATATTAAAGTACTAAAAAAAGGACATAAATAGATAAATTAGTAAAAGAAAAGCCAATCATTATAGACAAATTAAATTAATGTTACTAAATTTTATTTAACTGCACTATTTCTAAAGCTATTTATATTTTTATCTTAGCAAGCAAAAGATTAAAGGAAAATTCGAAACTTAATACTGTTAAATCTTTATAAGTGATGCTTTTTGAACCAAACGATTGAAGCTGCCGCACAAAGATTGAGCCTGCATTACATAATTTTTGCTAGAATTAACTTTTTAACTTTTTCATTCCCACAATAGAAATTTTTAGAGAAATAGGCTCAAACAATAAAAAAATTAGCACAGGAATGTTTTTTAGTTAATGTGCGGCTGTGTTTGATTATTAAAATTTTTGTAACTTCGACCTAAATTTTGATCGTAGCTCTTAGACAATCAAATTAAGGATCATCTGTGACAAAATTAGTGCGGCAGCTAAGTCCAATAAACCAAACGTTAACTGCGTACACTTTTTAAACTCTTAGTAATCTAATGAAGGTCACATTTATTTTGGCTATTTATTACACCCAGTTAAAGCAAGCATGGATAGAGAAGAGTTATTAACTATTCACTTAAATGATATCGACACAAAACTTATAGTGGTTAAAAGTAACAATTTACGAATTAAGTAAATTAAAACAAAAGCTCTCTAAATGAACGCACTTGAAAATAAACTTTAGTTATATATATGCATTTAGCGAACTATAGAAAAGGTACAATTATATACTGTGTGCCTAAATCTTATATCTTAATAAAGAAGTAATTATGGCAGTTTAGGGAGCTGGTATAGTCTTATAAAGTGCTAAGGATATTGCCAAATTCTTTTGAACTTTCATCAACATAGATTGTATAATATAGTTACTTCGAAGGGTTTCATATAAATAAATTTAGCTGCAATTATTTTTTTTTTCAAAATAAATTAGGCACATATGTATACCTATAGTGTGGGTAATATATATTTTGACCTGAATGTAAGTGTGCATTTAGAGAAAACATGTGCTTGTAGAGAAGATTTAACTATAGTTCAAACGAAACTGAGTAAATAATTCAAAGTAGAGGTGTAAAATTTTTTTGTGTTGGGGCTATCAACAAACGTTTGATGCATGGGTAGTTAGTTATGTGCATTAATTGGTATAACTTAAATGAAATAAATTTTTAAAACAAACATATATACACCATCAAGAATTGCATATTTCTTATAGAAATATTTGTTCGCATATGATTTTTAATTAAGAAGTAAATGTTTTGATTGTGCAATAAACATATTACACGTTTAAATCAAAAGATTGTAGCTAAGCAGTTTATCTACATAAGTGTCTTCTTTATTTTAATAAAAGTTTTATTCAAGAAAATTTTACTTTAAATTAATCTCTACAGTCTAAAAGCTTTACTTTACTTCATAACAAAAACTTAGTCTAATAGAGATACTTTAAGTGGTAATGGGAGTCTAGTAATGAATGTAGAGCAAATATAAGCATAATCAGGTGCATAAAAAGTATTAATTATTAGAATTAACAGTAGTGAAATATAACAGCACGTGTAGTATGTATCATATTGTATATAAATAATAGTTTAAAATTTGATCCACGTTATTTGTTACACCGGATTCTGTGTTTTGCAAAATATGGTTTTGTTTGTACTACAAATAGGATTTAGCCAATCAGATTCGATTTTTGTCTCCTAGTGTTTATCTCATAGTGTCTACCCCAACCTATATTATATATAGATTATTATATTAAGTTTTAATTAAATTTATCTTGCCTAAATTAATCTTCAAAAAAATTAGATTTGTTTTATTAGTTTATTTTTTAATTAAACCTTTATATTAAACCAATTTGCTACTATTGCTAATAACTACTAGCTTATATATTTTTTTTTTTTTTTTTTTTTTTCACTTAGGCAAAGTCGCGCCAGTGAGTTCTGTTTATTAAAGCCCTTCTTGTGAA